TGAATTCAACAAACAATCAAAAAGATTATTCACCACGACCAAGTAGGCTTCATCCCAGGGATGCAGGGGTGGTTCAACATACGAAAATCAATAAACGTAATAAACCACATTAACAGAAGCAAAGACAAAAACCACTTGATCATCTCAATAGATGCAGAAAAAGCCTTTGATAAGATCCAACACCATTTCATGATAAAAGCTCTAAGAAAACTAGGAATAGAAGGAAAGTTCCTCAACATTATAAAAGCTATATATGACAAACCTACAGCCAGCATTATACTTAATGGAGAAAAAACTAAAACCATTCCCTCTAAAATCAGGAACCAGACAAGGATGCCCACTATCTCCACTCCTATTCAACATAGTACTGGAATTCCTAGCCAGAGCAATTAGGCAAGAAGAAGGAATAAAAGGAATACAAATAGGTAAAGAAACTGTCAAAATATCCCTATTTGCAGATGACATGATCCTATACCTTAAAGACCCAAAAAACTCTACTCAGAAGTTTCTAGACATCATCAATAGCTATAGCAAGGTAGCAGGATATAAAATCAACATAGAAAAATCATTAGCATTTCTATACACTAATAATGAGCAAAACTGAAAAGAATACATGAAAACAATTCCATTTACAATAGCCTCAAAAAAAATCAAATACCTAGGTGTAAACCTAACAAAAGATGTGAAAGACCTCTACAAGGAAAACTATACACTTCTGAAGAAAGAGATTGAGGAAGACTATAGAAAGTGGAGAGATCTCCCATGCTCATGGATTGGTGGAATCAACATAGTAAAAATGTCGATACTCCCAAAAGTAATCTACATGTTTAATGCAATTCCCATCAAAATTCCAATGACATTCATTAAAGAGATTGAAAAATCTATTAAATTTATATGGAAACACAAGAGGCCACGAATAGCCAAGGCAATACTCAGTCAAAAGAACAATGCAGGAGGTATCACAATACCTGACTTCAAACTATATTACAAAGCAATAACAATAAAAACAGCATGGTACTGGCACAAAAACAGACATGAAGACCAGTGGAACAGAATAGAGGACCCAGATATGAAGCCACACAACTATAACCAACTTGTCTTTGACAAAGGAGCTAAAAATATACGATGGAGAAATAGCAGCCTCTTCAACAAAAACTGCTGGGAAAACTGGTTAGCAGTCTGCAAAAAACTGAAACTAGATCCATGTATATCACCCTATACCAAGATTAACTCAAAATGGATCAAGGATCTTAATATCAGACCCCAAACTCTTAAGTTGATACAGGAAAGAGTAGGAAATACTCTGGAGTTAGTAGGTATAGGTAAGAACTTTCTCAATGAAACCCCAGCAGCACAGCAACTAAGAGATAGCATAGATAAATGGGACCTCATAAAACTAAAAAGCTTCTGTTCATCAAAAGAAATGGTCTCTAAACTGAAGAGAACACCCACAGAGTGGGAGAAAATATTTGCCAACTATACATCAGACAAAGGACTGATAACCAGAATATACAGGGAACTTAAAAAACTAAATTCTCCCAAAACTAATGAACCAATAAAGAAATGGGCAGTGAACTAAACAGAACTTTCTCAAAAGAAGAAATTCAAATGGCCAAAAAACACATGAAAAAATGCTCACCATCTCTAGCAATAAAGGAAATGCAAATTAAAACCACACTAAGATTCCACCTCACCCCTGTTAGAATAGCCATCATAGCAACACCACCAACAACAGGTGTTGGCGAGGATGCGGGGAAAAAGGAACCCTCTTACACTGTTGGTGGGAATGTAACTAGTACAACCACTCTGGAAAAAAATTTGGAGGCTACTTAAAAAGCTGGACATCGATCTACCATTTGATCCAGCAATACCACTCTTGGGGATATACCCAAAAGACTGTTACTCCAGAGGCACCTGCACACCCATGTTTATTGCGGCACTATTCACAATAGCCAAGTTATGGAAACAGCCAAGATGCCCCACCACTGACGAATGGATTAAGAAAATGTGGTATCTATACACAATGGAATTTTATGCAGCCATGAAGAAGAACGAAATGTTATCATTCGCTGGTAAATGGATGGAATTGGAGAACATCATTCTGAGTGAGGTTAGCCTGGCCCAAAAGACCAAAAATCGTATGTTCTCCCTCATATGTGGACATTAGATCAAGGGCAAACACAACAAGGGGATTGGACTATGAGCACATGATAAAAGCGAGAGCACACAAGGGAGGGGTGAGGATAGGTAAGACACCTAAAAAACTAGCTAGCATTTGTTGCCCTTAACGCAGAGAAACTAAAGCAGATACCTTAAAGCAACTGAGGCCAATAGGAAAAGGGGACAGGAACTAGAGAAAAGGTTAGATCAAAAAGAATTAACCTAGAAGGTAACACCCACGCACAGGAAATCAATGTGAGTCAATGCCCTGTATAGCTATCCTTATCTCAACCAGCAAAACCCCTTGTTCCTTCCTATTATTGCTTATACTCTCTCTACAACAAAATTAGAAATAAGGGCAAAATAGTTTCTGCTGGGTATTGGGGGGGAGAGGGAGGGGGGGGAGTGGGTGGTAAGGGAGGGGGTGGGGCAGGGGGGAGAAATGAACCAAGCCTTGTATGCACATATGAATAATAAAGAAAAATGAAAAATAAAATAAAAAAGAAGAAACCCCTTATATATGGAGTGTTACATGCTTACAAATCAGAGATAGCTCAACATAAATTATTTAAACCTATATTGCTGTAGGAGGTTTTCTTGGTGGTATGATTTCTGAAAATACATCTTCCCTTCCAAAGCAAATGTCAAGTGAGAATTCTACACTTAGGATTGTTGTGTTGCTACTAGAAGTATATGTGATCTCAGAACCACTTGGCTTGATTGATTTAAGAATGCATTTGGAAAATAAAGTCACTTGTTGTTTTACATTTTGGGCACAAATTCCTGCACTATTAACTGAGTCCTGTAGGATACATTTATGGGTTTGGGGATTGCCAAATATTTAATCCTTTCTGGCTGTTTTCACCTTCTAACACAAAGGAGAACATATGACATATAAACATACAGAGAAAATATAGCATATTTTATCTGTAATTTTGATAATTGATTAATAATGCAAACAAGAAAGGCTTTAGGTCCCCTTATAGGACACATATACTGTGAGTCAAAGGCTACTGGTAGATTTTTCTTCTATTGTATCTCCTTCCACATTCAAAACTGTCGTCTTGTGCCATTGCTGTGTATGTTGTGGTACAATATAATATTTTCAGTTTTACTGCTGAAATATAGTTAGCAATATCATCTATTTAACACTTCAGCATGGGGTTTTCAGATTACTTCAGAGAGTTGACCTGAATTTGACTCTAGCAGATTGTAAACAATTCCCCTGGAGGATAGAAAACAGAAAGGTCTGCAACAGGAAGGGGAAGATGGCATCAGTAATGGCAGCGCCAAGAGTTGGGGAATGTAGGGGAGCCAGGAGATCTTTTGAGCCCACCAAAGGACAAAGGTTGTCCTAAGCATCAATGGCTGCCTAAGGGCAGGAGGAATTCAAGAGGGCCAAAAAAACTTTTGCCCTCTCATGAAGCTGGCACAGTGTATTTGCACCAGGAATCTATTCTCAACAGATGATGGCTGAATAAGATTTTTTGTCTTCCCTTAGGGTGATTTTTTGGCAACAAGTAAAGTCAATATTTTAATGTAAATGTTTTAATTAGTAAAAACATTTTGTATGGCACATTATCTAAAATCATGTTTCTTAAGGAAACATGCTTTTCTGTTATAAACTCATTTGAGAATACATTTTACACCAGAAGAATTCTTTTTAAGGGAAAAACACTTCATATATAAAGCATAAATAATTCTTCCTTTAATAAGGCATTTCCTGTTATAGCCATGGAATAACAAATCTATGGTAAGTATACAATTTTTTTTCAACCCTCCATGTGTACAGCTCTCATTAGAGGAGGTAAAAGATGCATATCCCCTTCAAAGGGAGAATTAGACTCAGTGTGTATGTGTGGGGGGGTGTTTTATTCTGAGAGATTTTGTTTTTTATGAAAGCTCTGAATAGTCCCTGTTTTTACAAATACTTTTTAAAAAACATGACTCTGTCTCACCTGTGTCATGGTGACTTGATTTCAGAAAAAATACTGAAAGAACATCTCTCTCAGGCCTAATATCGTTATTACTCCACAAAACTCTTTCATACCAAACATCTCTGGAGAGAAAATTTTAATAATCATATTTTTTCTTCCATCCAGGCTTTGCTAACATCTGCTGTTACACAATGTGAGCAAATGTTACAATATCTTTATAAAATAAGACTAGGAAATAATAGTCTTGATTTAGTGCCTTCATTCTATTTGCTCACTTATATCACTGTTTAATACACTCCTGTAAAAATTCAGCTAACAAAGCGAAGTTTCAGATTTGAAGTTTTTAAATTTAAATGTTTTGTTAAAAAATGGGCATTTTACATAAAACAATTTCAATATTTGAATTAAATTTTTCTTTTCATTTACAGGGCTACAGCAACACATAGGGGCCAGGTTATTTTCAAAGATGCATTAGCCCAGCAATTGTGTGAACAAGGAGGTAAGAATCATATTTGACTTGGCAATGTTAGGTGTGTCCACAATTATTCTGATTTTTTTAATGGTGCTGTAAGCATTTCATTACTATATACTTTGATCATTGATGTTTTTAAAAAAATTGAATTATGAATCACTTCATATCCCCAGTAGTTATTTATTTAGTAATGATGATAAAGATCTGATAGGGCACTGAAAATATTAAGTTATGAGAAAAGCAAAGGCAAAAGAAATTTTATATTTTTGTGATTTATTTTTCTAATGATGTCATTAGTTATTCCTAGAAGAAATATTAAATCTTAGTTGTTAATTTAAAATTCTACAAGTATTGGCCTTCTTTGTCATCTTTTTGAATTAGTTGTTTTCTGATTATTTGACTTTAAGGTCCATAGTATCTATGCTTTGCTTCACCTTTGTATGCTATTAATTTAATATTATAAATATATTCATTTTAGAATTAAATATTACTGTAATATTCAGAATTTGTGTTACCAAAGGCTCAAAAAACATGGTGAACTTCTGCTTTGGAACTGCCTCATATACATCCAGACTCTCATCCACACCAACCTCTCCCAGATGTACATGCAAGTACACACCACAATGGGAAGGTGGAAACCAGGATCCTTGCCTCCATGCAAACTTTTTCCTCCTACCCATTGAGCTTCCATCTGACTTTGTGCCTCCATTGTAACAGTCTCCACTCTACATACAGTTTTCCTCTGTTGAGTGGTGGTGCTAACCTGAGACTGAGCCTCTCCAGTACAGGAGCTATGCCTCAATGATCTTTGGTTCTCCAGAAGCTGACATAGTGCCCGGAATAGATAGGCCACTCCATAATTCTTGGTAGATTGAATGAATACAAGTTGGACTCAGCCATATATACATCTCTTGATTCATAATCTTTTTATGTTAGTTCCACTGATTATCATAGACATAGCATCAATTTTTGTTTAGAATAATATTTTGAGGATATTATCATGATAAAATCACCTCATGTTATTAATGTATGATAACTCAAAAACTTTTAAAAGATTACATTATTGAATTTAAAGAAAAATTTTATTACCTTTCTGCTAAAAAAAATCTAATGGACTTAGGGAAAAATAAGGAAAGTTATATTGGCTTTTAAGAAGCCCAAGAAAAAGCCATTTGTTATTGGTTGTTTTTTATATGTATAGATATAATCAATGTGATTATATCAAAATAATGTGGTATTTGATGACTTTTACTGGTGAACTAATTATTTACTGATGTAATTTTATAATCAGAAAAGTCTACTCTATAGTTTCACACATATTGTCAATATTCTTTGGCTAAACAGACTTATTCTGTGACTTTTTTTTTTTTTGGGGTGCTGGAAATGGAACCCAGGGCCTTGCACATGCTAGGCAAGCACTCTACTATAGAGCTCCAGCCCTATTCTGTGATTTCTGGGGCTGCAAACATTAAAAATATACAGTTTTATCATAATGTAAATCTTTTTTTCAGACTATGGAAAATTCACATTTCTGAAAATATAGAACACTGTATAGTAGTGAATTATATCCTTAAAAAATGAGTAATATCAGAAAAAGATAGGCCTAATTAATGTTTGTCGTTGCCTAAAAACTAATTTCTTTTAAGCCTTGAATTTTTGAGACTTTTGTATTATATGTGAATAATTGAGGTTGGATTACTTCAATTAAAATGAAAAGTCAAGAAATATCAGTAGGAAATAAGTCTCAGTGAGCGAGAAGAAATATTGCCATATGTAGCAGGGTTGCACGAGAACATGATCTACGTGATGGTAGACGTGAGTGTTATTAAAAAATATAATGTGGCCCAGGACCAGAAGGAAATCACTGAGCTCCTCAACAGCACCTAATCTACTGAAATCACATTAATTTAACTAAGATAAGGTGAAAAAGAATATTAACAAAAATGATGGCTTCTTGCCGTCAGGAAGTAATAAGGAAAATAATTGGTACAATAAACTATATATTGGCCCTACCTACTTTGAATTAAAACATTAATTATCTCCTCAAATAAAATGACATAGTTTTAATATGTAATGATTTACTGTGCATTAGATGAGGAACATATTTATTAGCAGATAAAACATCTAACGCAATATACACCACAGCACAGTGCCTTTCAATAATAACACATTCAGTAGGTTTGTAGATTCTAATTAAATTGAACAAGTCAAACAAAGCAAGTTTTGTTTTGTGGAGCTTGGGTACAGCTATTATTATAAGATCATATTGTTGGTTAAGCATACTAAAAAGGTAAAAAATATGAGAAATCATACAGGTGATGCCTTAGGACTAGTCTGTAATCTTTTTTTCTAACTCTTTTTTTATTATTGTGCTGGGGGTACATTGTGGCATTTACAAAAGATCTTATATTATATCAAATATATTATACTTGAATTCATCTCCTCCATCATTCTCCTTTTCCCCCTACCTCGTGCCTGAAATAGTTTCAACATGTCTCATTTTTACATTTTACATTTTTACATACATGTGTACACAGTATTTGCACCATATTCCTCTCTTACACCCTTTCCCCACATCCTCCTTCCCCACTGGTACCAACTCCCCAGACAGGACCTGTTCTGCCCTCCTATTCTCCAATTCTGTAAAAGAAAAAGAATGACATTTTTGTTTGTTTAAGATTGCTATATAAGGAGTTTCTTTGTGACATTTCCATGTGTATATATGTTATAACCTGATTTGGTTCATCTTCTCTATATTTCTCCTTTCTACCTTAGTTCCCTGCTTATGATGATTTCAGCAGGTTTAAAAATTCTATATTCATTCTTGTATAGGAAGTACATCAACTATATTTACCTTCTAAACTTCCTTCTTTTGCCCTCCCTCTCTCATATGTGACCTCCCCTTAGTGTGACCTGTTTTTATATTGCTTATATTTGTATTAGGTCTATATTCCACATATGAGAAAAAACATGCAGCCTTTGGCCTTCTAACCTGTCTAAATTCACTTAAATATTATTCTTCAGTTCTATCATTTACCTACAAACGACAAAATTTCATTTTATGTGGCTGAATAAAAATCCATTGTATGTAAATATCATATTTTCTTAATCCATTCATCAATATTAGGGCATGTTTTCACAGCTTGGCTATTGTGAACAGTGCTGCAGTAAACATGGGGGTGCAGGTACCTTTGTTGTAACCTGAGTCGCATTCCTTCGGTTATATCCCAAGGGATGGTATTGCTGGATCATATGACAGATCTATTTCTAGTTTTTTGAGGAGCCTGTATACAGTTTTCCATAGTGGTTGTACTAATTTACATTCCCATCAACAGTGTATGAGGGTTTCTTATTCCCCACATCCTCACCAACATTTGTTGTTGTGTTCTTCATTGTAGCCATTCTAGTAGGAGTGAAGTGGAATCTTAATGTGGTTTTGATTTGCATTTCCTTTATAACCAAGGATATTGAACATTTCTTCATGTGATTTTTTGGCCATTTGGACTTCTTCCTTTGAAAAAGCTTTGTTTAGTTCATTTGATCATTTCTTTGGGTCATTGATTAATGACCATATATTCTGGTTATTAATCCTTTGTCAGATGTATATAGCTGGCAAAGATTTTCTCCCATTCTGTGGGCAGCCTCTTCAATTTAAAAGCCACTTCTTTTGTTGTACAGAACCTTTTTAAATTTCATGTAGGCCCATTTGTCAATACTTTCTCTTAGCTGCTGAGCCATTTGAGTTCTGTTTAGGAAGTCATTGCCAATGCCTATTAATTTCAGTGTATTCCCTGCTCTTTCCTGCACTAGCTTCAAAATTTTAGGTCTTATATTAAGTACTTAATCCACTCTGACTCAATACTTGTACAGGGTAAAAGACATGAATCTTGTTTCAGTTTCCTGCAGGCAGATATCCAGTTTTCCCAGCAACATTTGTTGATGAGGCTGTCTTTTCTCCATCGTATGCTTTGGGAGCTTTTGTCAAAAATCAGGTGGGCATAGCTGTGTGAATTTATATCTGGGTCTTCTATTCCATTCCACTGGTCTTCATATCTGTTTTTGTGCCAGTATCATGCTGTTTTAACTGCTATGGCTCTGTAGTATAGTTTGAAGTTGTGTATTGTGATACCTCCAGCATTGTTCTTTTTGCTCAGTATTGCCTTGGCTGTTTGTTGTCTTCTGTGCTTCCAAATGAATTTTAGGATTGATTTTTCGATCTCTGTGAAAAATGTCACTGGAATTTTGATAGGAATTACATTTAACATGTAGATTGCTTTTGGTAATATAGCCATTTTCACAATATTGATTCTACCAATCTATGAGTATGGGAGATCTTTCCATCTTCTGTAGTCTTCTTCAATTTTTTTCTTCAATGGTTTATAGTTTTTCTTGTAAAGGTCTTTCACATCCTTTGTTAAGTTTATTCCTAGGTATGTTTTTGAGGCTACTGTAAATGGAATTGTTTCTCTATATTCTTTCTCACTCTGTTCATTGTTGGTGTATAGAAAGACTACTGATTTTTGTAAATTTATTTTGTATCCTACTGCTTTGATGAAAGTATTTATGGTGTGTAGGAGTTTTTTGGTGGACTTTTTCAATTCTTTTAGGTATAAGATCATGTCATCTGCAAATAGGGATAGTTTCACTTCTTCCTTTCCAATTTGTATTCTTTTTATTTCTTCTTCCTGTATTATTGCTGTGGATAGGAATTTCAAGACTGTTGAATAATAGTGGAGAGAGTGGATACCCTTGTCTCATTCCTGATTTCAGAGGAGATGTTTTCAGTTTTTCCTCATTTAGTATGATGCTGGCTGTAGACTTCTCATATATAGCCTTTATTATGTTGAGGTACATTCCTACTATTCCTAGTTTCATCAGAGTTTTTATCATGAAATGATGTTGAATTTTGTAGAAAGCTTTTTCTGTATCTATTGAGATGATCATGTGGTTTTTGTCTTTGCTTCTGTTAATATGCTGTGTTACATTTAGCAATTTGTATATGTTGATCTATCCCTGCATTCCTGGGA